TGCCCAGGGTGGAAAGCAACATAAAACACATGCATTATTTGACTGAAATAATGAATCCTTGCGAGACAGATAAGCTCCAATTACATTTACTGATAAACTGAAAGCAGAATACAAATGAATCATGAAAGCACCTGGACTGAGAGCAGCGTGGAGGCAGTTTATTAGACTTACTTGAAAGAAAGCCAAACCTAAGTTAAATGCCCTCCTAGGGAGCAAACACAATTTTGCAGAGAGATATGAATGCTTATGATTTTGAGAGGAGACCTCTAGTGATTACTTTATGCATAATGCAATTCTCCTTCTTTCAGGAAAAGGACGAACATACGCTATCCTGACTGACGATGCTGTGGAAGCAAACAAGGACAAATGCACTGAGACAGTCTCTCAGACACAAAGAGAGCCCTCATTTCACTGCTTTTCCCAAACAGCCCATGCCACTGTGACATAACAGTGACGTGGGATGGGCTTGGAGGTCCAGCTGTCCATTCTAGAGTCAGAGGAATTCCCTGCAAGCAAAAAGCTGCAGACAACAACAGTGTTTACGCTGGCCAGTGCGGTCATACATTACACATGCTCAACAAACATTAGCGGTCTGGCGATTGGCCGGCCCTATCATATCCGCTGGCCAGGGAGAACCACTGTCATAATCTTTTCTCGAACACATCTAAACACATGAACAGACTGCAAGGCAGACTCAGAGGGGCTTAACTTGGGCAAACAAAACAATGCAGTAGTACAAATGAATAAAATACAAACACTATAATTTTCATTATAAGTGTCCTTTTCAATTTATATAACATTATGTTTCAGTATGCTTACAGTGCAGTCCTGCATTATTATTTACAATGTAATCTCTCCTCTTCCTAGTTGAGTAGAGGATTTTTCATCTTTTATTACTGTGCTTTTAAGACTGATGGTGGTAAATGACCACTGTTCTGATTGACTACACTGTATTGTGTCTGGTGAGAATTGCTGCTGACATTATTTTATACATTGCCATGTAAATGGCAAAATGAGTAATACATTAATATCAGAATGAGAGAAAATGAGTACTAATCTTTTTGAAAAAATAAGTCTTACTGTTTGCACATTCCCCGTGTCTGCGTGGGTTTCCTCCGGGTACTCCGGTTTCCTCCCACAGTCCAAAAACGTGCAGTCAGGCCAATTGGACATGCTAAAATTGCCCCTAGGTGTGAGTGAGTGTGTGAATGTGTATGTCTGTCTGTCTGCCCTGTGATGGACTGGTGACCTGTCCAGGGTGTATCCTGCCTTCCGCCCAATGACAGCTGGGATATGCTCCAGCACCCCACCATGACCCAGAAGGATAAGCGGTTTAGATGATGTATGTATGTATGTATGTATGTATGTATGTATGTATATGTTTGCACATTGTGGACATTTTGATACTAATTATTTTGCTTCTGGATTTAATTATTTTTTTATTAAAACTTTTGGCACAATATTAACTCTATAAGATAGCAACACGCTAACATGCTCCTCCAATAATATTCAATAGTCAAAGCTGAAATATTTGCTGAAGAATTCACAAAAACATACATACAAAGTAAACAATACATTGTATGCATGCCTTATAAGCTTCAACTGTTAGTGTCAGTGCTGGAGCTGACATGCAAAAAGGACAGTTCTGATTCTAAAATTGGATTTGCTGAGATTGGCTGAGCTGTTTCCAAAGCTGTTGCAAAAATATGCACACCTATGACCACCTCACAACAAACGAACTCTGTGTTAATGTGCTGGGTCACTAAAAACCACTGAGCTGTTAATGGACTGTTTTCTGCTCACATGGATCACAGAGTGCACTGAAAGATAAAATGGGAACTGACAACTTTTTTCCTAAAAACTTAGTTAAAAAAATAGAAGCCTAAACAGTCAGAAAGTTAAACCTAAAAAGTGCTCCTTAAAAAACTTCTTAATAATCATTAAGTACTTAATGATTCACTGTAAAACTGCAACATAAAAAGTAAAGAATATGTTACTTGGATGGCTTACATGCTTCAAGTGTCCATATTTTGCTTAGATCTGCCTTAAGAATTAATCTGATGTGGGAAAATAAATGTGTGGCACTGTTTTCTTGATGCCACACTAGCAGAAATTAGCATTATTGTTGCAGTGGTAATTTAAACACTGTTATATTATTACATTTGCAACATTATATGACAACATCACAAAATGACTATAATATACAGTGATAGACGGCTGAAAGTTCTTGTCGTCTTTCAGTAGTCCACAGTTGCTTGCCAAAAACAGCACTCTACACAAACTACAGATCTTGGTGGAATAATTGTTTATTGTGATTATAACATTTTATTTCTTGAAAATGTGTGCATTTTATCATATTAGGTGTTGTCACCACTTTATAAAAGCCACGTGAGGCTATGCATTGCACTGATGTGGACAGAGTGGATTTAGACCACCATTAGCTTGGCTCTTATTCGCTTTTATTTGAAAAAAAGTGAAGAAAATCCAGTTTTCCATGATAATGGCCCTTTAACAGATACAAATCAGGTGCACAGCTGTAACTCCGTAGATTACACATTGTAATGTTCACAGTTCACTGACCACTATCCATGCATGCATCACACTCAACTGTCAGCTGAGCCACATGAATCGCTGACAAATACAGTGCAAATCCCACAACAAAGCTGCTGCCAGTACCTTTATACCTTGCGATGCCTGTGATTGCACAATCTTCTCTTTTCTATTAGTATAGAACAGAGTAGCACCAACAGAAGGGCAAAAACAGGCTGGCTAAAGGCTTTGCTGCATCCTATATAATGCCGGTTAATACAATACTCAACACTGGAGTAGTCAGATTAAGTAAAAATGGAAACAGGCCAAACTCTGCTCTGGATTTGAATGATCAGAGGTTTAGCTTTACTTATCCTATTTACCCTACATAGTGAAGGCAGATCCTATATAGGCCTGATGTGCTGTTTGGCTTACAATAGCCAGCTATCTATGCAAAACTTGCAGACAAAGCCTACTCTGGAAGAGTTATTTCTCATAGCTGATGTAAAAGGAGAATAAGAGGCTAAAATGTGGTTTGCTTTGGTAAAAAGACACTTACTGATCGACTCCAAGTTTATACAGCCTGGCAATATTTCAACACATCAACATTCTTAGGATTTTCTGCTGTTAAATGTTGCAGTCTGAGGAAATGCAGCCCATAATTTTCACAAAACATTCAGACAAATTAAAGAAAAAAAAATCTTAGTAGGGTGTTCGGCCACTGCTTCAATGTGCCTTGGAATAGATCTTACAAGTCCCTGGAACTGCACTGAAGGTGATGGAACACCATTCCCCAAAACATATTCCTCATATTAGTGTTCTGATGATGGTGGTGGAGAGATCTGTCTAATATGTAGCTCTAAAATCGACCAAAAGTGAGACTGGGTTGAGATTTGGTGACTTGGTAGGCCATGATGTATGATATGTTGCTGAGGTTACTGACCACTGTCATAAGGATAGAAATATTTCATAATAGGATAACGGTGATCAGTCAGAATAATTCTAATAGTGCACTTGCCCACTTTTGGAAAATACGGCGAAGGATGACTCACACACACTTCAGGAACTTGTGTCACTGAACAGCTTTAAAACATTCTTCAAGCAGTGGAAGTGGGTCAATGTTATGAATGATTTATTGGGGTTGTATGTTTGTAATGCGTTACTTATTTCGTGAGAACAATTTGCTATGTTTTGCTACCAACTGTGGCAAGGACCCTCCCATAAAAAGAGATTTTAGATTAGTGAAATTTTTCTTGGTAAAATAAACAAATAAAATAAGAAATACAGTAGTGACCACAGTTTCCAGCCCCTATTTATCAATGTCTTTCCCATAGATATAAATGCAGATATCATTTTAGTCACTGTTCCTATTGAAGCACCACTCAGTTGAGCAGTCTTTGTTATTGAAGCTCCTGTCGTCTGTGCCACAATATGAACCATCTTTCAATGTCACTTAGATCTTTTCCTCATGCCATTTTGTTTCATAAAGATCAACTGGGCCAGCCCAGCATTTTTATACTTACTACAGTACAAGTTTAGATGTTAACTCCATATTTATATCTTGCATTATACCTTATTTGTTAATTCAAAATGAAACCAAATTAAATTTTTTTCATACGGTTCATTTATAGTTCATTTTGTGGTGTGACTGATTTGTGCATTGTGGAACCAAAATGGTCCCCGTTCACTTTGCATCTTGCATTATGGTTAAAGGCTTTCTGTACATACACAGCCACAGTCTTCCAGCACTTACAGGGTAAAAAAAACAGACATACTCAAGAGAATAGTTGCCAATGGGTTTGTGTGATCTCGCAAAGAGACAGCATCGTTAGCACAAAGCAATAAACCACGAGCCACATTTTTCAAACACCCTTTTACTGTGGTTAAAGGGTGATGCGAGAATATTCAGATAACAAAATTAAACCTCCCCCCCGAACTTGAAAACACTGTAAAGCAGACTTGAGTGGTTTACTGCTTATCATAAAAGCATTAAAAAACATAGTATATAGTGTAATAAATACAATGTTTAATAAAACATTGTTTAGATAAAAAATGATTTAATGAACAATGCTAACTGTTTAATGGTTGGTGCTGTTGGAGTATTTTATCAGGTTTGAACATGGCACATCCAATCAGATCTGTGAACTAGAACCACACTGCTCATGATTCAACGTTACCCAGGGGGTCCCGAATTCTAAATGAGTCGTGATGTAAACAAGCGGTCTGAGCGACAGATGAACAGATCAGGTATTTTACATTACAGCATCCCTCCTTTCCATTGCATTATTGATTTCATGCTGAATAAAACAATAAGAAATGGCCCAAAATTAACTGGAATAAAACCTCATTACATTAACGTAACATATTAAAATATTTTGTATATTAAGCACAAAGTTACACAAATTAGTGGCCATTTTTGACAGATAAGCCTATTAAATGTTGGTGTGAGATGATGGGAAAGAATACATTACCTGTCAACTGCAATAGCAACCAGGGTAAAAACGGAGGCCGAGACCGATATGCCCTGGACCATACCACTCATTTTACACACCATACTCCCAAACGGCCACCCTGTGAAGAGGAAACAGAAAGTACATATGTGAACAACTTGGACACCGATGTAACAGTAAATGATAATAATACTGAGTCAATATCTGCAGAAAATACTGGATCGGACTTTGGAGGACAAAAAAGGATTGAATCCAATCCTATTCTGTAACAAATCTACTCTGAAATAGTAGTGACTAGTAGAAATAGGCAATTTTAAAGTTCAGGAACTTCATAAGCGAGCTGGCATCTCGACTGCAAATGTTAAAATCTCAATGATCCTAAAGATTGGTGGTACAATGATTATTTGTCTTTAGTCAGATTTTTTAAAAAAAAAAAAGAAAAACCCCTGGTTTTTAAAGAAACTTTAACAGCCTGTTACTTTTTGGTAACAGGCTGTTTTCTTGTTTTTTTAAGCTTTTATTTTCTGGCAGAGCTCAGACTTCGAATCTGCGTGAGATATTGGATTACAGAGGTAAAATAACCATGGTCATAACACTGTGACATAGCATGAAGGTGATATAAGTGATGTTAATTCACTTATGATGCTTTTTTTCCCCAGTCATCTTGTGTTATTTCTGAATTGAAAAAAAAAGAGTACTTTGCTTTACATGTTTACCAAATACGCGAACACAGTGACAGTTTTCAAGGCATCATTTAAGAAATGTCATACCATCTGTCTAACAATTGGTAAATGTTAAAGAGTGCTGCTAACTAGGACAGAGGAGCTGGTTAGCTTTAGCTTAGCTAGCATGATAACACCTCTGCTCACCACAGAACATATTTGACTCTGGCAACATTAACTAAAACACGGACACACGTTTTGATGATGTGATGATAGTTAAAATTTAAAAGAGTACGTAGTCAAGCAACTGGTGCTGAGGGGACAGAAAGGTGAAACATGTGGTGTTTGGATCTGTTGCCTAATTGGTTAACTTAACGTTAGCTCATTGAGCACACTACAGACCCAAACAGTGCCACCCATCACAGTACAGGCTTGATTCTGAAAACTGATGCTCTGTTGACAAAATTTACATGATAAAAACTGAGAGAGCAAAAGTGAATGTTTGGGAGAGAGCTTAGTTAGCTAGCTGGTCAAACATGGCATATGGCAGGCTTGGTTCCCGCTAACTTATGCTAAAATGATACCCATTTAAGGGGTAGCGCAAAGTCAATTAACTTTGTTTAGACTGAATGCTGAAATAGAACATGTTCTGCAGTATGTGCAGATAATGTGTGGCTCTGATATGTGTAGCTTTTAGCTGTGGTTGAACTACTATCATGCTTAGTTTTTTGAGGTTTTCCTGGCTCCCATTTTTTCCATTTTAGAGCCACCCATTGGTGAAACCCCCAATGAAATGAATAACCACCAATCAGTGAGCCCCTCTGAAATATAAATGGGTAGATGTGTTTATTTAGTCGCTCAGATGTGAAATATAAGTTTTATACTTCATCCTTTTGAAATGCCATCATAATTTTTAAATACCACAGTATAGCTTATTACTGTTATACCACCAAACCAAGCTGTCTAACTTATACTGCTTTGTGAGCACAGCTACCCATCAACGGATTTAGCAAAAATTTAAATCAGAAATTCAATCCAGAAATTTTGGGATCATTTGGCATCAGCGTCTTCTAATATAGCGCCTTTTTTATAATACTTTTTAATAACATATGTTTTATGCATGATGGTCCACTGACTGCATGCCTTACTAATTTAATTTGTTTATTTATTTACTTACTTATTTACTAACTCAGAATGAATTGAATTTAATAAATTGGAAGCCTGATATTTTAAATTTGAAATAATTAAAATTGACTTTTAATTGATTTAGAAAGACACACTTCTCTCAGTATTATTGTTCATTTAGTCTTTAATATAGTTCATTTAGTTCATTTAACTCAACAGTGACTACAACATATTTAATCTATTGGGTGTAAAATCCATTTGCATATTATCTTAATAGTACAAGTTGATTAAAGAGGAAGACTAATGCTATCTCTTAGGAAGGTAGAGGCAGCAGGAAGCTCATTTTTCATTGGTGCAAGGTCAGTAGACAGGTCAGAACACCACTGGTGAGAGAGTTAATTCAGATTAGGTACAGGTTAATGGCAATGAATTTCAAGCAAGTCAATGCTTCATTGCTTCTGCTTTAAATCCCCCAACAGAAAATTAGCTGAAGAGCATTTGAAATGCAAGTGGATCAGAGTGCTGGGATGCAGTTGTACAGAGATTTGCCTTGGTTGTGTGCCATGTGGTTCACTTTCACATCTGCCCCTACCAGTGGGATTAGGCATGTGTTGTTTACAATGGATGAGATTTGCTTAAAGGGAAAGGCATCTTAAGGACAAGCAACATTAGTCATCATAACTAATGTGAAATTCATTTCTCTAAATAAAAGATAACAGACTGTGTCTTATCACTGACGAGCTTTATACTGCATACATTAATTATTCATAATGAAGAGTTTTGTTTAGTATATTTTTAATTGTCTCCATATTTTATTGGCATATAATAAGTATTTGGTACTTAAGAATGCTTGATGGCATTTCCCTTATCAGACTGAGCTTATTAATAGCAGTATACATCACTGCAGATAGAAACCATGTTGCATGAGATGGCCAATAAAATTAAAGGAAAGGATGAAGCCAGTTCTCATCAGCTAAAACAAAAGTAAATAAGTACAAAGCCAGTGATTTTATTAACCACAAAAAGCAAACAAAAACCTTATCTTGTTTCACCAGCTGGGGTACTGCCTGTACAGCTGTGCAGATTTATCTGAAACCTAATGAATAATTTATCATTTTGATAAAAGTAAAAAACAAGACTAGGCAAGTCTGGCCAGGCCGCCAGGTCCGCACACTCTCTCCTCTGTAACTATTGGTTAATAATGCCAGGGGCAAAGCAGCTATTTTTAAAAGTGAGGGGGACACAGCTTTCAGTACATGGCACCCTCAAACCCCACCCTCCACACTTGCAGGTTTTGGTATTGCTATTATAAAGCCTGTATAGATATGTGCATTTTTCCAAACAAGCCAATTTGAGTGCTTAAGGCAGCAATATACAATACACAAACTTTTCTCAAACTGTAATGGGATCACTTTACTTATTACCTCCAACTCTTCTCACAATTCTCATTACTTTATATCTAAGTTACTTTCTAAACTCTAAACAAATACCACTGGATTAATGCACCAAATTTGTATAGAAAAACATTATAACATACAATGGCATACACTCTGTGGCGACTCTATGACTTACAGCTACTCTAGTAATTAGATGCAAAGATAAATCAAGTTCATTTTTATTATCAGACACTGACACTTTTGTAGCAACTGCTAGGCCAGAGTCAATCCTGCAGACTTCTTTCTCTGCACGTTTGTTTTCCTTACTCTAATACATTTGACCCAGCACATGAGGAAACTGCTAATTTGTTAATAAGCTGAATGGAATTTACATTTATATTTACATTTAGTAGACATTCTTATGCAAAGCCATACAAATATGCAAACAGTCGAAATCAAAGCAGTGCAAAGTACAAAGAGACACTGCAAGAATCTATAATCTTAGAAACCAGAGCTGTACCATAGCTTGACCTAGGTAAATAAATAAAGTGTAGACAACAGGTAGCATGAAATGCATTTTTAAAATAAAGCAATAAAATGACGTTTGGGAGGACTGAGGAAAAATGATGGTGATTCCAAAATGAAATGCAAATGAGTGCATAGGGTGCTAACCAAGGTACTGCCTGAAGAGGTGAGTTGTCAGACAGCGGCAGAAGTAACCGAGTTACCATGCAGTGCACAGTTCCACCACTGATGGGCAAGGACACTAAATCAGCGAGACCCAGCCTTACAGGCATATTTAGGTTTTAAGGAAGGTCATATCAAGAGCACTGAAAACCTAAGTTGGTGCACAGGTGTCAGTTGCACCAGCTCTGCGTTAGTTAAAACATAAGCTAGTTATAAGTATTTGTATAAGTCCAGGTTTACACATTACTAAATCAAAACAACTTGCACAACATCTGGCTTAGTATATAAACACTGTAGCGTGGGTTTTTGTTCTTTAGCATCTATTCACAGGGTTATTCTGATAAGGACTCTTATTGTGAAGGCAGGGCTAGTCCACCCTGTGTGTGAGAGCAGACAGAACTGAAAATCAGATGGAGCTGGGAGCTGAGACAGTGAGATGTGAGCTGAAGTAGAGAACAAACTATTAGAGAAAAGCTTGCTCATTTACAGCATAGCTGTGGCCAACAACAGCTGGTTAATAAAGGACTACACTTTCTGTGAAAGCTGTGTCTCTTTTAATAGCGGTGAAGACGACATTTGGTGTCAGTAGTACAAGTTTTGCCAATGGGAGAGATTCAGACTATTAAGCTGATGGCAGCTAAGCCAAGCTAGATGGAGATGAAGAGATGAAGCACTCTGTATGTGTGAAAACACAACAGGATGATAGTGAATATACATTTTCAAGAGTGCCGCTGCCATTGAGGGAGAGCCGGACTGGCCTGGGTGCAGTGACGCTTTGTTTAAGCAATGATGCATTAGCTTGCCTACTATTGCTAGATCCTAGCAAGAGGTCAGTTTACAGTGCGTTGGTTGGGGTGTTTGGGCTGTGTTACCAGCCTGAGCTCCTTAAATCTGAACGGTGTACCTCCCAAAGAGAGGCAGGGGAGCCATTAAGAGCCCTGGCTAACAATACTGAAATTTTAGCTAGATCGGCTTATGCTTACATGCCACCTTCTGCGCAATGCAAGTTAGCCTGAGATCAGTTCATCATGGCACTGTCTTCAACTGAGCTACACATCCACACCGAGCTGGTCCACCCACATGACTTGCAAGAGGCCCTGGGGAAGGCACTGGACAGAGAAATGGTGTTGTCAGCAGCTGCACGGTGCACGGATGTTACTAGTCCTGCAGTCAGAGCTGTGGAGGAGTCGAGTGAGTCACCAAAGCTGCCATGGGTGGAGAAGATGACATACCTGATCCAAGGGTAGCCATACCTGCAGCTATACAGCCAG